TCTCCGTCTGAAGCAGATCCATCCTGTCGCATGCTGTGGGTGCTTGGCACATTGGTGCTGAGCTCCCTTTCCCGGCGGGGCACGGTGGTTTCGGGGTGTGCTCCATATTCAGGTGGACAAGAGGAGAGGGACCTCCTCTTTGCAGATGCTTAGGCTCTTCTAACCCCAGGGTAAATTGTGGGAGCTAGAGAAGTGCCTCCCTCTGGACGCTCCTTCCTGTTACACGATGAATCACGTAATAATTGTATATTTATTTAAAAACAGCCGGGGAACTTTGCTAGTGAATAAAATGTCAGGCATCGGTGTATTTACATAAAAGGGTCTTCACCAGATGGGCAACGCTTTGGAACAGAGCACGAGGTAGAGGAGTATGTTTTCCCTTTCCTCGTCAGCCGAGCCCCATCCTTCGGTTTTGCTCTGAAGCCCCTCATCGTTTGAAAATCACATCATCAGTTTAGGGCGGCGAAGCTGAGCGTCGCCGGGGCGGGGTGCAGAGCGGCTGATTCATGCAAGTAGCGAGCGCGACTGTCGCACTATATCACACCACCGCTGGAACCGTTTCCCTGGCTTTCTGTCATGCCACGCATTTATTTTAAAGTGTGTGGGCCTTATACTGCCTGGAATGGCTTTACTTGTACTTTGAATACTGCATAAACCAAATTTAGAGATATATTTCTCCCTTTCCCCTGTTGTGTGCATCATTTTTTTGGCTTCTGATGTCCAATCGGTTGCAGTAATTCACTGCAGAGGAAGATGTTTCTTAGATTTCCAAGAGCGCCAACTCCCTAACCTTTATAAAATTAGGGAGAATGAATCACTCGTGACTTTTACATCTTTCTCGAACACAAGTATTTGTTAGATGCTGGCTGCCCAGGGGCAGTGCTTTCCCTCAGCTTAACTTCGTTGTAAATGTTTGTAAACTCGCACATAACGCCTCTGCACGATGCAGACGACGTGCGCACACGTGGATTTATTGAGAGGGACACTAAACATATTTCAGCCGCAGGAAAGGAAGACGAGGCACTTATCTGTTCTGTTGTCCTCTGCAGTATATATCGGCATCTCATATCCTGCGAACATAAATGCCAGGTTGACTCAAGAGATCTGTGGATCAAGTGTTGTTTGTAACCTGCACTCAACGCTTCCAATTGCGGTGAAGTTTCGTCGCGGCAGCAAGGCCCTTTGCCAACTTTCAGGAACCCCGGTGCACCTGGAGATGCTGGGCACTGATTTTTTGGACACAGGGTGGGCACACAATGGTCAAGTAAGAGGGAGTAAGTTGTTAAGGTTGCATCTAGCAACTATCCATTTTTAAGGGACAAATGACTGGTTTAGCTTATTTTGTGAGTTTATCCTGGTTTTGGCAGCATGAAGGAGCAGGTCCCTGTCCCAGCTCCATTCCCTGCAGCCCACAGAAAGAAGTGAGGGTGCCCTGTCCAGCTGTGTCCCTCGCTGTCATCCCTCTTCTGCAGCCAGATGTTTTGGCGCATGCACAAAGGATGGGAAGAATCCCACGTGTCATGTGAGTCCCCCCCTCACTGGGCTTGGGGACAAGGTGTCCTTTAGGCAGGTCAGAGCCCGGAGCCTCTCTCCCTGTCCCTTTTCTCCTATGGGATAGACAAGGAGGATGCTGTGCTTTGAACCAGCTCACCGCAGTCAGCTCCTGCCAGGAACATGCCCAGGCCCGCTTGCTGCCCGGCAGCATCCGACACCTACGCAAGTCTCTTAACATGGTACGGTTTGCATTTAGTGTTGTTTTACTTCCACACTCACTTCTGCGGCTGTTGTTTCTTTCCCCAGAGCTGCTTCCCTCCATGGCAAAGGGCCTGCCGGTCACTACTGCCCAGGATGACAGGCCGTTAGCAAAGGGGACGCTGCTCAGTGTTATTAACGCAGTGGGGGGGGGTGGGTGTTCCTGAGCACCAGAAAACAACAGGCTATTACAGGGATAAAACCGCACTTTTCACGGCTGGATCCAAGCTCACAGATGCAGCTACTGTGCCGCCAATGACAGCAAACCGCCCTCCTCTCTGCGCCTGGAGATGTCTGCGGATGGGGACACCTCTATCCGTCCCTCTTCCTCAGGGCTCAGGCCCCGATTCTGCAAGGGAAGAGTCACTTGCAAAGGACAGGCTGTTGTTTAACACCTCAACGGGTTCCTGTCTCATGGGTAAGGCCTGGGAGTTACCATCAATGCAGAGAAAGCCAAGACAGTGTTTGCTAGGGGCACGCAGGTTAGGAGGTATGACGGCATTGGTTTAATAAAAGCTGAAGACACCGTCACTCAAATCAGCGTGACAGTGTTTCACCCTGTGATGCGTCAGCTTGCCTCAGATGACACTGGCAAATTTTCTCAGATCACTGGAGTCGAGGGATTTCATGATTTTCCATTCTGTGTGACATTGTTCTCCTTGCACCTCTGGCTAATATTAGTAGCAAAGATGAATATTTAACCTTCCATAAATAAAGAAAAGAAATCCCCAGTGTTCAGGAGCTACAGAGGGAACGAACTACCAAACTGGAGGAGTGTGAGACCTGAAAGCTAAAGAACCTCTTTCTTGGAAGACAAGGATAACTTACTAAGGAATGTTTTCAGCATCGATTTAACACCCATCTATGTAGAAGACCTTCTCTCTAGAGGAGGTTACAGCTGTGAAAAATGGCCCAGTTGCCACCAGTGGTCAAATTAGTCCCTCTCATCGGGCTGCCATCGCTCAGCTGAGCGGTGGTACCTGTCATCTTGCCGCTTCTACTTTGCCTAGTGAGCAGGGAAACCATCCACCTGCAAATGGAGGCAGACGCAGGACAAGAAATGCCACTGAAATTTCAGACGGGCTGCCGGGATGCCGCTCTGACAGCTGTTTTCTATAACTGACGCCAACCAAATTCTGCGGCTCCGCACCGCCACGTCCTTTTATGATGAACTTCCCTCAAAGAATAACTCGCTCGCTTTAATCATGTTTGTTCCGAGATTTATGGCTTGATGCTTATTCACTGGTGGAGCTTCTCGATGCGAAATGTCAGTAAGCCTGTTATAAATC